GACACGGCAAACCGCGTGGTTTCTTGGACCTTCTACTGCTTTCCGAGGCTTCAGCTCGACGGGCGCTCGTCAAGATCTGATCGTCTGCTATCAGAGCTGTTTGTAGCACTGTTGCCTTTGCTGCTGATGGCCGTGCGACCAGGGCAGGGCTGTTCAACTTAAGTGGCGCAGGCATTCATCAGCTTCCGTGCCTCCACAGTCCAGTTTGTCTGGCCAGGTACCGACCTCGCGCTTCAGGCGCGAAGCATCTCGTTAGTGCCTGACAGATGCACTCTACTCGACTTGGCCCACAGAGTGTTGTTTCTCAACGGCGTGAACGTAGCGAAGCCTTAGACAGTCCTACGGGGGCAGGGTGTTGGACTGCTACTCGCAAAACGTGCTTCCTCAGGTCGGTGACCCTGACATGCTGCGTGTTGCGTGTGCTGAAATGATACGCGATGTGCAAGACGCATTACAAACTCTGCAGCTGCTGACTGTACGTTTAAACTTGAGACATTGCGCCTCCAGATTGGTAAACGTGCCAAGTTCTGCCCTGGTTTCAGGGCTAGGGTTGCGAGGCCTAAGCCCTGAACCTCAAACGCTCAGCCCACCCTAAACTTCAAAACTTGGGCCCCACTCTGGGCTGTCAATCGGTCTTCCAAAGGCCGCCGCTGGGAACCCCGAAGTCAGAATCCGGACTTCCCGTAGAACGTAGAAACTAGAACTTCCAACATGGTAGCCTATAAGAACTCTTCAGGGAGATCTACTTTCTAGATCTTCCAGCGCACGCGGCTTTAATGCCTAGCACTGGAGTGTCATGAGACTCTCGAGTGGACTTCGCTTCCCCCTTGAGGATGAGTACCGCACAGATTGCAGCCTTTGTGTCCTGCTTTTTACCAGAATGCATGGCATGCTGTTTGACGGGTCTTTTGGTTGCCTATCCAGCCACTCGCAGCCAACCAGTTTTGGTAATTTCCAACTAAACTGGGTAGTTTTGTGCATTTTTGTGCGAATGGCCGGCAACACATTTGCCGCCGCCAACACCACCGCCGGATCGAGCGGCGTAGTGTAGGTGCAGTCCATCAACAGATCATTCGAAAATTGGCCAGGCCCCCTGTTCGCAGTTCAGCCTCCAATAACTAGCTGGAATTTGTCAGCGTCCTGGCCTCAGCGTCATACTCTCAGCACTTTTTATGTATGTGTAAGGTTTCGTACTTGATTGATGCGCCACGTGCCCACTGCTGTCGATGCTGACGGCGCTTACGGGCCTACTGTTCAAGTGGTACAAGTTCTGCTCAGCTTCCCGGGTAGCAGACCATTTATTTAAGGACGGATCTTGGCGCAAAACAATAAAAAGCCCAGGAGAGGGTGGGATTTTGCAGTTATACACTCATCCCCACAGGATGTGAATCTCAAGAAGAAAGCCCCGCCCAGATTAAACGGAGTAGAAGATCACGTCACTGCAGTATGAAGAGAGGGTACTTCTTTGTTACACAACCCTGGGTTTGTCTGCGACCGTAGGATCTGTTTCGCGCCATTTGCAGAAGTTAGTTCATCTTTCTGTCAGCTCAGTCTTGAAGCTTGCAGCTAAGAGACCTAGAATGCAGCGGAGTTTCTCAAAATAAGTACGTGTGAGAGATTCTAGAGGATTGTGATGAGGAATACCCACATGAAACATTGCACGATGTGCTTGAGCTCTTGCATCGCTATGCCTTGTCAGACGGCGTGGCCCGTGCGCACAATGGTTGGTGTTGACGCCACTTGCAGATGCCACTTGCAGCGTCAAGATCCTTATGTAGGAGGCCACACTGCAAGCCTGCCTGCAAAGGTCAGGTGCATGAAGCAGCAAGTTCGGCTTTGCAGGTGTCCTGTTCGTTGCAAAGCACCTTGAGATTTTAGAGGGCTTCTGTTTGAGATGGAAGCAGCTTTTGGAAGGTAAAGTTCGCAAGGTCCTCGAAATCTCTTCATAGCAGTTCATCCTTCCGTCATGTAGCCATCGCATGCTACTTGCAGCGCCTACTTAGGTGATGCATTTCTGTGCTTGTAGAAGTTCGCTTTGGCCTATTGAATCGTTGAGCATGCATGAACTGTCATCCATGGCAGGCCAAAGCCTTTGCAAGCTACGCTTATGTTTTCTTGGCGACCTTGCATGGAGTAAGGGCCTCTACAGGCACAGGGTTCCACAATCCGCCCCATTCAGTCTTCCTTCCACATGACACATGTCCGGCTGATGGGTAGCTCTGGTGTCCTGTATAGTACCGGGCATCACGAGCGTTCCAACGTTTCAGCAGGATGAGTCTGGGTTGCTGTTAAGGGACTTAAATTAAGTTACTATATTGGGGAAACCCTATTACTTACAATATATACCCATTATGGTAACTTAATTTAAGTCCCTTAACAGCAACCCAGAAACTTGACCCATAATTCCATACCGTGCTGATTGTAGCGCTTCGAGCATGTCGTGGGGTTGCGGCTGCCACCTCCCTCCAACCCCGCAGCCCCAGCCCCCCTGGCCCCCCTGCTGTCAAGTTCCTCCAAAGGTTGAATGAATCGCCTGCAGGACATGTGCCTTTACCCAGGCTTGTAGCTGGAACATTGAGCATCTCTCTGTTGGCAAGTGCAAAAAAGCCAACTCTGTTTTTCCCTGAAGAGCCTCAGGGCAGCACCGCGCGCATCTGCAATTGCTCCAGAACCAAATAGGTTGTTCTCAAAATTATGGGCCCTGGGGCTATAAATTATATTCTGGAACCTACTATTTAGGGTACCAAAAAGGGACCCTAATTTTGGGAAACTTCCAAATGCATTTGCGAGGAATTGGAGCCGAACCTTGAAGCTGACACGCGGATTGCCCACATATGTTGGGGTCTCCCTAATTCTGAAAACTAGCTTATTCAAGGCCATATAGGGAAATGGAATGGTGCATGGAAACTACCAGTGGTTCTCGGCACATAGGGATGGATCAAAAGCCCCATGCGCACTTGCATATTCGACATGCAAGCTTTCTGGGGTTTAGAACTCCCTGTGCAGAAGCTTGAACCCTCAAAGGCAGAGTTTTCAACAGCTTTCCGCGCCACTTTGAAGGCGCAGTTCAGCCAACCGGCAGCGCATGGCAATATAGAGCTGTGACACGCTTCCCAATCGGCAATGCTTGTGCTGAATGCTGCCTAGACCGGCAATTAAATGGCTTTCCGTGGACAATTGCAAGACGGAAGACCAAGAAAAAAAAGTTCTTCTGTACTTCGGTTCAGGGACAACTCATATATGGGAATTATCAAGCTGATCATTTTCTATTAATTTTAGGAATTAGTTCTACAGGACAGGACTTTCAATGAAATCGGTAAAGCCAAAAAATAATCGAATCTATAGGAATTACTCTACGGAGACGAGATTGAATCTATAATGCAATAGAAACGGTAACAATATATCTCCGACAGATATGGCAGCGCGAGGGAACATCAAAATTGCTTACTGATGATTATTCTATTCTACTTGGTTTCGTAGAGACACGCTCCTACCTAATGAGGATGACGATGGAATTAGGGTGTGCGGGGCTTCAAATTTAGGATGTCCATCCTCTTTTGAGGGATACAGGAACTGGCTGGGTTATGGTAACTTTGACCCTAGACCCTATATACCCGTAATATGGTAAGTTAATTTCAAGAGGTCATCTTGCCAATCGAGCTGTACATTCAGATCTCCTAGGGTTTAGGGTTTAGGGTTTAGGGCTCAGGGTCTAGGGTCTAGGGTCTAGGGTTTAGGGTTTAGGGCTCGGGTTTCGGGTTTAGCAGTCATCGGAGACGGGGGTCTGGTTGCCGGCTCTGGTTGCTGCTGTTGACTACTCTTCGGGCTTGATATAAATTTCGTGCGGTGTGTCCAGCATAATTGAAGGTTCACGGGTGCTTATACTTGCGGTTTAAATGGGTTAGTACCAACAGAACTTGTTTGGGGCTACTTTCATGGGTGCTTATACTTGGGGCTTAAATCAGGATTAGTGCAGCTATAACCTGCTTTAGGGTACTTATACCCCCACTTCGGATTGCCAATGGACCTTCAAGTGAGTAGTATTTTATTTGGGGATACTATGGTACCCAATATAGAGTAAGATTATATCCTGCTTTTGGGGTATAGTATTTTACATAAGGAACATAATCTTACTTGGTTTAACCACCAAAAAAACGCCACTCAAGTATTGAAGTTCAGGTCCAGCCCCTTTTCCAGTCAACCGTCACAGCATGCCTTGAGCTCTGGGATTCTAGTGGGGACCTGGGTTCATTTAAGCCATGGTCTAAACCCCTTAAAAGGGTTTGTACAAGGGATATCAAGGGATTATATAGGGGACTACTATAGGGGTTGCTAAGGGGGATACTAGGAGTTTAGAGTATAGCTCATTTCGAGATAGAGTTCTTTTATCACCCTTATAGACCGCAAACAGGACAAGCCAACATCAATGTCCAAGGCTCTCTATCTCCATAATTGAAGTTGCCCGGGTGCTTAGTAGGGAATTCAGCAACGGGCTGTAGGGACTGTTGTAGGGGATTTGGAGAGTTTTAGGGGTATGGGGATCGTATTCCAGAGGATTACATACCATAGGGTGGATGGTTTGGGGTCATGGGGGCTATGTGACCTGGCAGGAGGTTACCTATGGACTATTCTACAACTTTGTTCCTTTGTTCCCTACCAAGCACTGGGGGTTGTGGTATCCTGGAGAAGGATCCGCAGCTACGGAGGCTATAAAACCTCAGAAACACAAACGTTTCCAATGAGCGAGTGGTTGACCCCAACTTGTGCAACTAACTTCCTAAGCCCTAGACTAGACCTTAAAGACGCAAAATCACCTGTGGTAGATGGTCCCTTCATGGATGGATCTGTGATGCTTGCGTAACCATACATCCAAAAGAAGGGGCAATGTTAGGGAACACATGCATGGCATGCATTTGTCTCGATAAAGAGGTTCGGCCAAGCTTGATAGGCTTATGCATTTTTTAACCATTTCGGCTCAAGAACTCTTCAGCCTTACCGAAATGTCCATGTTGAGAGCAAAGTGCTGGCCTCTTCTCTGGCTACTATGCACGTATGCAAGCGCCGTGGTGGCTGATGTTTCCTGCGAGGAGCATGATTTTCATGCTACGCAGTTCCTTCAGATGACGTCCATTCTAAATGCAGAGCTGCATTCACCGTTGAAGCCCTGGGACGTGCATTACTACCTAGGTGGGCATTCCGCCAAAAAGGGCTTCCGGTAAGAGTTCTGGGGCAGCACCATCCTCCCCAGAGTCATCCCTCTGAACCCTAAACCCTAGACCCTGAACCATAAACCCTAAACTCTGAACCCAAAACCCTCTAAACTCAAAACTGCGGGTGCTCGAGCCAGCCCGTCAAACCGAGGACCCCTACCGGAATCTCCAAACTGGATCCCCTAGCATCATGTTAGGAATTCTATGGGGCTTCTTTGGGGTTATTATGGGTTTAGGGTTTACGGTTTGGGGTTTAGTCTTTAGGATATACAGGATATGTAGGGGTTATAATGGGTCTATATAGACGAAATTTAGGGATCATTATGGGGCTTATATGGGTAATTCATTTGCTAGATCCTTTGAGGCTTTGTTCGAGACATTCCCAGGTGAGTAGTATTGGGTATATACAGAGTAAGATTGGCTTACAAGCGCAAGGTTTTCATGCTAGGGGTTTAGGGTTTAAAGCACAACCCTCAAAAAAAGTACATTGCACCATAGAATCCCGCCAGAGCACCTGTTTATGTCATTCTCGAGTTCTTTCTGTTGCTTATTCGGTATTATTTTGGGTTCGGCCCGGGCAGGTGTTGCATACCACAAGGCTGGAACTTATCTCATGATCCAAGTGTGGCCACTTGCCGTTTGTTGATGGGGAGTGGAAGATGTGGAAAGAGAGTGGGAACCAATATGGGAGTTAAGGGTTCGCTGTGTAGGGTTTAGAGAATAGAAAACAGCCTCATATGATACTAGAAAATCATCCTTTCCTTCTCTAGCTAGTAAGGCAATCGATATTTCATGCCCTCGGGGCGAAGCCGCTTATCGACATGGGCCAATGGGATCAGCCTTGTTATCCCGGGACATGTTATGCACCAGATGCACCAATCCAAGTGTGGATCGACCTCTACTCGCCTGCAAAAGCGCAAAAAGCACGTGAAGCTGCAGGGGAAAGAGGCTTGCGGGTCGCAGGATTTGTTCGAGACCCTGTGTCCATGATCGTCTCTGCATACTGCTACCATCACAGGGGAAAGGAGCTCTGGAATTTCGTAGAAAATCCCCAAGGCATTGTGGCGCAGATGGGGCCTCTAGAAGGGCTGACTTTTGAGGCCCAACGGATGCTACCAGTTGTCAAGAACATGACGGGCATTTTTGAACACCCGGCCAATGACACCCTTCGTCTTGACTACGAGCGAACTACGGCCTCTTCTGATGGTTTCGACTCAGAGATGGTAAAGCTGATTGGCTTCTTGTTTGAGGACCTGATTTCGGCAGAGGAACGTGCTGAGGTCTTAAATGCCACCCAAAGGGCAGACCTGAATCGACATCCTGCCAATGACGACGATAATCATTCCAATGACCCGGACTGCAAAGCTCGAACACGGGAGTATGTGCCAGCCATGCCGTCGGACCTCTTGGGGCAGTACCGTTCATTCCAGCAGAGGCTGGGATATGCCCCTTCCTGAGCGCTTGGTCATCCAAACATGATGGTAAAGTAGCAACAACTATTTAGAGTATAGTGCCTGGTATCAGCACTGTAGTAAGTAGTTAGCCAGCCCCTTGTTTTGCCAGAGCAAGAGCGAGAGCCAAGATCACCCTTGATCATTTGGCTGAACGGCAAGAGGCCACCGTAGAAGCAACAAAGCTCAATGACAATGATGATCGTAAATGCCACGATACCCTTATCGGTGTATGTAAATCCAATTCCTTTTCTTTCCCTATATAGCTTCTATTCTAAACAGCCGTACTGGCGACATTCATATAGTAATAATCAAAATAGAAATAATATTCATGGTAGTCCCTGCAGCTGGTGTAGATTCTTTCTAGTGCGCGAACAATATTTTATTTGGGAATACTGTACACCCCAATATAGAGTAAGATTAGACTTTCCTTCTTTCCTTTGGGGTATAGCACCTTATTTGAAGAACATACTCTTACTGGGCTCAACCACCAAAACCACAATACTCGCATAAGCATTTTTGGGATGTGGAAGATTGAAAATGTCTTCCTATCCATGGCAGACAGCCTTAACCTCAGGCGCAGGATGCTTTGCTCCGCCATCGCAGATTCAAAAGCTGGGCTGTCAGGAACGTGCATTAAGTTACTATGAAAAGGAAGCTTGATTACTGTACTGACTATATATCAATACTATCGCAGCTAACGCCCTAAACCTGAAACCCTGTATACCCATGTTATGATATCTTACCTGGATTCCTATTCTTCCTGGCGGTTAGTAGGGTTTAGGGTTCAGGGTTTAGGGTCTAGGGGTTAGGGAAGATGGGAATCTAGTTTCTTGAGTCGAGCATTTTTGGCTGGGTCTTGATAACCCCAGCCACGAATTGATCCGTAAAAAGAATGCCTTGCAAATTTCAGAGTTCGGATTCAATATTCTTTGCCGAGTTGATTTGGACTCTTTTGTTGGTCCGGCTTGAGAGTCAACGCGATCTGCGGAAGCATTCCACAGCCATTCAGGCCCGGGAGCCCTTGCTTGTGTCTCTGTGCCAAAGATGGGACAGACACAGCAGATGAAAAGGCCAGGCTGTGAGACGGAGACCTTGTACACCTGCACGAACATGTAGTGTTTGCATGGTAGATAGATACCATTATCATCCTAGAAGTATGTTGTCGAGCATATTTCCATAAATGATGAGTAGTTGTTTTCCACTTGGCATGTTCATGATATGGAGGCATCGGTCTTAGGTCATCAAGGTTAAGTCCAGTCACCTGCTCATCGGCAAGCCTAACAAAGCCAGTGCTTTTTATGCGACATGTCTCCCCAAAACACTTCTATATCCCCATGTGTTTCGATACCCCTATAATAGACACCCGAACAAAGAAAAACGTTTGTGTACGGAAGGCATTAGCCATGCCATCAAATCCAGACGCACCTCCCAGCTCCTCGGCAGCAACAGAGGCTACTGCCGGATTCGTTTGCCTCGAAACCCTTAAGCCCCTAAACCCTGAACCCTAAACCCTAAACCCTAAACCCCAAAACCCCTAAACCCTAAACTCCAAACCTTGATTTGGAGGCTTGAGGATGAGTGCGGAGTGCAAGATCTGCGTACTCTGGATGCCGAAACAGGATCTGCAACTTGTTGGGAACATCGTGGCTCACAAGCTTTGACGTGCTTGCCACGTACATTGGCTTGCCAGTCCAATTTTCCTTCCTGGACAGACAGCAAACTCAGAGCTGTCCAAACAAATCCCGCCTTGGCTCCATGCTTGCCTACCAAAGCGTTATCATATCTGCTGAAGGCCGCAACTCCTGGCTCGTGGCAATGTTGCAGCCGTCATCCATGCAGAGTCATCTGGCGGGCGTCAGGATGCGCAGCGCAAAGCTTTCCAGAATGGCGGCGTCTAAAACGCTTGGCTCAACCTTGTTCGCATCCCAGTTCGGGACTGTAAAGGAATGTGATGGGTTTAGAAGGCCTTTCTTGGGGACGGGATGGGGATACATATTTGCAATGTGAGGCTAATGTAAGGTTCTCTCCCTACATGTAATTGTTTCAAACCAGGTTGAGACTTGTCAGGACATAGCCATGCAAAGATGGCCCCCTCAGCAGGTTGCAGGAAAGCCGCGTCTGCATTGATCAAATCAGGGATCGCGCTGTCCACAGGTGTTCTAAGCACCTTGCAAACATGCCGCTGCCCATTGCAGCCCAAGTTCTGGATGCTGAGCTGACTTGCTGTCCATTTTTCCCGGGACATGACGAATTCCAAGATGTTTTAAACGCAGCCACCCAACAGCCACCTCAGTCCCGCATGCCGTTTGGCCAGATTTTTTCGCGGCTTTTTCTTGCTTCACCTCGCGTAGGCTTTGAGCTGCGGAGTGAACAGACGCCTAGTCTGAGTTTTGGGCTAATCCAAGAACCTCGTCCTGCAAGTCTTTGGTTCAGTAAAAAAGCACACAGCAGCCATAGGTTCATGTGCATGTGCCAGCTTTATGTAGCTGACACTGGCTGGCTTGGTGCTGCTGGACAGACGGGGAGATCAGGGCTGTCCAAGCAAATCCAACATGTTGCCACGTCTGTTGAAGGCTGCAACTCTTGGCTTACGATATGAAACACATCAAGATGCCCCGACTGTAACTACTCAACAGCAATGTCCATCCCACACCCTGGGTGCCCCGAGCTTTTCCCGGCCTTTTCTTGCTTCTCCTCGTGAGCGCTGAACTCAGGAGATCACCGCAAGTCGTCAACAAACGTTTAGTGTGAGTTGTGGGCGTGGGCAAAGGCAAGAGCGCAAAGCACACGTACAGTGTAGGTTCTTAGACCTGCACAGTGCAGCTGACACTGGCTGGCTTAGGTCTGGATGTGTGACGTCATTGGAGAGGTCCTAATTACTCAGATGCTTCCACATGCACGTCTGCTTTCATGCGCCTTCCTATCCTGGAGCCCTGGGTTCAGCCTGAGATTCGGGCAGTGAGAAGCACTTTGCGCACGTTTGCTAGGGGCTTCGGTGTTCGTTGAGCTGCATCATGCATTGCCTTCTGCGCCGCCTGAGCCGCTTCCTGTAGCAGTGCGTATGCGCAAACTGCTCTGAGATGGTGTCCCCCAATGACTCTCCATACAGGCCCGGCTGGACTGCTTTGGCATGTCTATCTCATCCACACTTTGCGCAGAAGGCTGCAGCATCAAGCGTCACAGGCCCGCAGCACGTTCCAGTCGCTACATGCGCCCTAAATCCTGTGGTTTGAACCCAGGATCATTCCATGTCACTTGCCGTGCCTTCATGCGATGCCATGCATCTGCATGCCACTTTGCTGCTCATGATGCTGCCTTTTTGTGCGGTTGGCTCGCGCAAAGCAGATTCCTCAATTTACGCACGAAGCAAGCGAAGGGCATTTCACTCTTCAAGCCCAGGGGTATGGCGGCAGCTCGTTAGTTAGCCTCACAGGGTTTCCTCAGGTTCCGTTACGGAAAGCACCGTGTGAATCTCATCTTGGAATCTCAGGCTGGTCTTGTGTGACTATGAACACACAGCTGTTTGCTGAAGTTTCTTTACCTTCTTCGCCTTACCTGGATGTACCGCTGCTTAACATCCAGACGTGTGTAGCCTAGTTGCTTCATGTCCCTAGCTTAAGAGAGGCTTGGAGATCTTTGCACATGACTCGGCTTGATGGATTTTACACAACTGGCCCTAAACGTGTTGTAAGTCGAGGGAGTCGATGAACAGGGGTTGCGCTGCCCAAGCCAATTTGTGTTCAGTGTTCGGTCAAGATCTGTTTGCAAGTCCCCTCTCGCCCGGTTTTTGAGATGGGTTCCGTAGGTGTGGCTGAGTCATAGCCAGAGCAAAGCGTCCAACCAAGGTTTTCAGAACTGTTGTACGAGCGAGCCTGAGATCAGCTGCACCCTCTGAAGCTTTACGCGAACCAATGTAAGCGCGCATCTAGCCTTGTTGGCCACGTGCCGCCATGCATGGTTGCCAAAGGCCAAACGCATATGGTAGGTTGTGCAAAATGCGATTCCTCTGGGGTTCCCTATTCTAATATGGTCGCCAATATTTAGGGTACCGCAAAAGGGAACACACCTTCGACAACCATGTGGAATAGGCTTCCGGTACATCAGCAGATCTGAACTTGGCTTCAGCCAGAATTAGCGCCAAGAAGGGTC